ACTCAACAGCTGACCTACTTCATTTCCGCTTGCTGCTCCTACTTGACTAGCCCTTTCGGCCTATTCTCCTGTTATGTCATCTTTATTTATGATGTTTATCGTTCGATATGAGGTTTACAATCTGCTGCCTGTCATCATTTTCCCGTTTCGTACTCACGGCATTGTGAGGTCGCTTTACTGCCCAGATCTACTCACCTTGCTCTCACGATCCATCGCCATTTTGCGTGATATTCGACTTGCGTTTTTGCTTCGATTTCATTCGGCTTTATTGAAATGAGATACGCTTAGATATTTAGTGAATGAGAGAGATTGCATGTGCTCGCTTGTGCATGTAGGTATATATGTATAGCCCTACGCGGTATTGTGTTGTTGCCTGGAGAGGCAAAAACAGTATTATGTGAACGGCGATTTAATCTAGGAAAACGAATAAATATTATTAAAGCAACTGCATTTTTAAAAAATCGTCTGTTTACCGGGTGTGTTTACTCTTGCACTATCCGAAAGACATCCATTCTATTTGGCGTTGCACCAGAGTTTGAGTGCACTTTGTGTGGTACATGACACAGCATTTAACAGTTTGATGATTAGGCCTCTGTCTAGTAAGGCGATATGATAGTAAAGTAATAAAGTAGCAAATTTGTAGACAGGTTACGCTTCTCTGAAACTGGCGTTTGACCGTTATTTTTTAAGGAATGTAACTGTGGGTGCCGATTATATTGGGAAAGTTCTGTTTGAAAGTTTTATATGTGTAATTCTCAAAGCACTCCTTAGGAAGGCATTGTTTGGCACCCTGCTGTAGCTTGCTACCCCCCTCTCCTCTTCCCGGTGGCCCCACCCCCGCATATGGTTGGCTCACTCTCTCCCACTGACCTACATTCTGAACCACACTCGCCTAGTTGCACCAGACTCAAGAAATGCCACTCATCCCGTTGTGTTAGCTTTGTGTAGGTATGGGTAAATCGCCGCATTTTAGTGTGAATGGTACTCAATGCCATTGATGTGAGTAGTCAGAAAGTTTAAATACAATTAAAAAGATTTTCATCTCAGATGCAGGCGCTAGTAGTTCGAGTGGATCTGAGCATTGCGTTGAGATGATCTGGAAATGTACCAAGATCTGCTTCATCGCCATACTGCTTATGACCAGAATCTGGTTTTGACACCACTACACCATGGAACAAACAGACTGACCTATTTATGCCATTATTTTACCTAATGCAACTAATTAGTATAAATCACATGAATATAATGTTTCTAAGAGGTTTGTTGTAAACCCGTCAGCAGATATGGCAGGTAATTTTTGCCATTGCAGAAATGTTCCACCTGCAGTCACTTCCTACACCCGACGGCCAGTGAAAATATACCGATGAAAGTGAGTGAAGAAAAAACGAGTTGGCACACGCCGAGTCTCACTTTAGGTGGGTCAACTTTCTCCTGCAATGATCCATCTTATTTTTCTCTGCACCTGTTGTGGTACACAATTTACTCCGTGCGAAAAAGGAAGCGATGGTTTTTGGATTGGCTCTGTATTGTAGTTTAACGAAACCGCGTCGTTCATATGTCATTACATACGTGAAAATAGATATTTTAGAGACTTACATATATCTGATATCGATGGTGTCAACAGTTGCATAAGCTTGTAACAAACATATGTTGAGACTAAAATGCAAAAAAATCATTATTTTCTCAATGCATTAAAAAGTGGAGACACAGATCCCTTTGATCTGTCACAATGGAGAAAGGAGCAACTTCTTGAAGTTGTGGTCATTTAAAAATGTTTCTGCCTGGTTCACGTCACTTTCCCAGCCCTTGTTCTGTACCTCTTGACACTTTCTCTCACACTCTCCCTTCCTTTATACCACGCGTATCCCTGTGGTATCACTATTCCCAAGTTCGGATTTTCAAAGCTCAAGTGTCTTAGTTCATTTTTCTTTTATTGTATCCTGCCCTCTTTGTCTGTCATTGTACATTCACCATTCTCGCTCTCGCTATCTCTCTCCCTCTCCCTCTCTCCCTACTTCCCTTTCTCACTTTCTCATTATCTTTCTTTATGTCCCTGTCTTTCTTTCTGTCTATCTTTTTTTCTTTCTGCCCCACTCTCTTTCCCCATCCCTACTTCCCTTTCTCTCTCTCTCTCTCTCTTTCATTCTTTATGTCCCTCTACCTCTCCATCGCCTTACTTCCCTTTTCTCCTTCCACCCCCCCCTCTCTCTCTCTCTCTCTCTCTCTCTCCTCTCTCTCTCTCTCTCTCTCTCTCTCTCTCTCAGTTTGCCCCCCTCTCTCTCTCTCCCTCTCTCTCTTTCTCTTCTCTCTCTCTCTCTCTCTCCTCTCTCTCTCTCTCTCTCTCTCTCTCTCTCTCTCTCTCTCTCTCTCTCCTCTCTCTCTCCTCTCTCTCTCTTCTCTCCTCTCTCTCTCTCTCTCTCTCTCTTCTCTTCTCTCTCTCTCTCCCTCTCTCCTCTCCTCTCTCTCTCCCTCTCTCTTCCTCTCCTCCTCTCTTCTCTCTCTCACTCACTCCTACCCTCCCTCCCTCTCTTTCTCTCTCTCTCATCTCTCTTCTCTCTCTCTCCTCTCTCTCTCTCTCTCTCTCTCTCTCTCTCTCTCTCTCTTCCTCTCTCTCTCCTCTCTCTTCCTCTCTCCTCTCATCTCAAGTCTTCACTGCGTCTCTCGGTCAGTCTCTCAATTTTTTTTTTTTTTTTTTTTTTTTTTTTTATTTTTTTTTAACATCTTTATTTATAGTCATCATACAGATATGTATAGGTTGAAACCAGTTTATTTAGAACTTACAGGTTTCTTTTTGCGGGTTAAAACAGTTTAAAAGTTTTTTTTCCAGTCTAAAGGAGCTTATTTGAAAACCCAACCTACTTTTGTAAATAACCAGGTTTATAAACTAAACAAATAAAAAGGAATTAAAGTACAAGATTATATACAGTGTTGCCTTAAGTGTCGCCATGAGTGTACAGGAGGTAAAGAGGTGACGGTTTTCTCGACCGCCGATGTGCCGCTGTCTTCACTTGCTGGGTGGTCATTTCGGCGACATCGCTGGTGGAGGTGAATTCGTTCCACAGTCGTGCTGCTCTGGCTGAGAAGGTCCGCTGATGCTGGCTAGACCGCGACCTCGGAACTTCCACCAGAAGCCGATTGGAGTGTACCGTCCTCGTACTTCTCTCTCGGCCGTGCGGTGGGAGTCTGAGGCTGGATAGATGAGGCAGGCCCTGCTGCACCTGAGCCTTGTGGAGCACCGTTAGAGCCCCGACGTCGCGACGATGTTCCAGCGAGTCGATGTGACCAGGGTTGCTGGCTTCCTGGATAAGCCTGAGAGCCCGTTTTTCTTTTTTCTATTTTTCTCTCTCTCTCTCTCTCTCTCTCTATCTCTCTCTCTCTCTCTCTCTCTCTCTCTCTCTTCTCTCTCGTCTCTCTCTCTCTCTCTCAGTTGCCCCCCCCTCTCTCTCTCTCNTTCTTTTTACAATGTTAAAAATAAAATTTACACACATAAGGCAATGCAAATACCTTTGAAAAGAAACAATCAAACAAAATCTTAACCTTTTCACTTTCAAATATTAAAATCAGTTAGTTAAGTTACTAATAATTTAAGGGTGAATATATACCAACCATATCTAAACCCTTCTTTAGTACGAAAAGGAGTCAGAAGATTAAAGGGATGATTATTTTGTAAGCGTCTTATAAAACTAATGATATGAAAAAACAATGCATTTATGATCGGGAAAACAACCAATCACTAATAACTCTCTCTTCTCTCTCTCTCTGTCTCTCTTATTTCCTTCTGTATGTCTCTTATTTCCTTCTCTCTCTCTCCCTCTCTCTTATCTCTCTCTCTCTCTCTCTCTCTCTCTCTCTCTCTCTCTCTCTCTCTCTCTCTCTCTCTCTCTCTCTCTCTCTCTCTCTCTCTCTCTCTCTCACTCACTTCCTTCTCTCTCTCTTTTGTAACATATTTATTTATATGTATAGGTTGAAACCAGTTTATTTAGAACTTACTTTTTGCGGGTTAAAAGTTATTTATCTAAAGTAACAATATCCAACTTTATTTATCAAACTAAACAGATGACAAAATGGAATCAATGAATAATTAGATTATATAGTGTTGCCTTAAGTGTCGCCATGAGTGTACAGGAGATTCAGCGGTGACGGTTTGCTCGACCGCCATCGATGCGCCGCTGTCTTCACTTGCTGCGTGGTCATTTCGGGGACATCGGCGCTGGATGTAAATCATTCCACAGTCGCGCTGCTCTGGCTGAAAAGTTCCGCTGATGCTGGCTAGACCGTGACCTCGGAACTTACACCAGGAGCCGATTAGAGTGTACAGTCCTTTCCTCGTACTGCTCTCTCGGCTGTGCGATGGGAGACGGAGGCTGGATAGATGAGGCACCTGCTGTGCCTGAGCCTTGTGGAGCACCGTTAGAGCCCCGACGTCGCGACGATGTTCCACCGAGGTGTGATAAGGGTTGCTGGCTTAAAGGATAAGCCTGAGAGCCCGTTTTTTCTATTTTATCCAGCCTGTTGAGGTTGGTGGGTGCAACAGAAGACCAGGCCAACGAGGCATATTCAACATGTGGTCTGATCTGGGACTTGTACAGCACGAGAATTCCTTGAGGATTCAGGAGGTGAGATATACGCCGAAGAGTTACCTTCAGTGAAGCTGTTTTGCTGATCCTGCTGGCGTGTTTGTTAAATCTGAACTCATTGTCTATGTCCACACCTAGGGTTGAAATAAAGTCCTCGAGAGGAAGGGCAGTGTTGTTCATTAAGAGCTTGTCCTTCATGACGTCTGAAGCAGTTGGAGAGTGGGATACAATTGCCTGGGTCTTGTTGGCGGTAAAACTTACTTGTCATTGTGATCCCCAGTCGTGGATTGCTTGTAACTTCGAATTCATATCCATTGCTACAGTGTCATGATCCTTGCGCATGTATGAAATAGAGAGTGTGCAGTCATCAGCATACGCTGAGATTTCGGGATGTTCTCTAAGCATATGATTTATGTATATATTCTAGAGAATTGGGCCAAGTACAGATCCCTGTGGTACCGACGCCTTTATCGAGTACTTGTCGGATAACTGGCCACCGATGACTACTTGCGGTGCTCTTCCAGTGAGGTAATCACCAAAGAGCCGCAAGAGGTTGCTGCTTATGCCTCCTGCTTCTAGTTTATCAAGGAGCCCTCTGTGCCACACTCGGTCGAAGGCGCCGGCGATGTCGAGGGCGATTACCAGAGTGTCTTGATTGGCGTCCAGAGCATCCTGCAATTTTTTACTTATTGGAGAAGATCAGCAGTTGATCGGGATGAATGAAAGCTAAACTGTCTGATGGAAATAAGATTGTGGTTTTCCTTGTGGTCCATGAGCTGTTCAGCAATGATCTTTTCAAACACCTTGCTGACGGATGGCAGGAGGGAGATGTGCCGGTAGTTGTCTGGATTCGTTTTTCACCGTTTCTTATGCAGAGGAATCACTCTTGCTTCCTTCCAGATGGAGGGCCAGCAGCCTTCTTCGATGCATGACTGGAAGATGGATGACAACGGCTAGGATAACGCGGCTGCACACCTGTGGGGCGTGTGGGGGCTGATGTCATCTGATCCTGGTGTTTTTTGTTTAAATTCTGGAGGATCTCTTTTGTTCTGGTGTGACAGATTTGAAGACCAGGGAGTTGTTCATGGCATACTGAGGATATCTCCGGAGGTGTTCTGTTGGCCTCTGGCACTGTCATTTTTCGACAAAACAAGCTTCCCAGAAGGTGAGTTTTTCCCAATTACTTGAAGCAGTTGTTCCATCAGGCTTTTTAGTGGAGGTATTGTGGATTCCCGGGTTACACCTTGGTGCTCCTTGATAAGTGACCACCACTCCTTGTTGTCTGCTCCCAGACTTATTAGTTTCCTTTTCATTTCCTCTTGCCATCTGTTGCAACAATTTTTTTTACAAATTCTTATTATGTCTTGTGGGATTGGCTTTGTATCTTTGCCACAATTTGTATTTCCTTTCGGACGCTTGATAGCATCTGTAGCCAAACCAGGCTTGATTCCCTGGTTTTGTGATGTATCTCCACGAAGGAACGTATTTCTCCTTGCATTTCAGTGAGGAGGCTGGTAATGGAGGATGCTTTGTCATTTGTGTTCCCCGCCAGAAGAGCATCCCAGTCTTTTGCCTGAAGTTCTGCCTTCATACCTGGCTAGTCTGCGTGGTTCCAAAGCCATATTTTTCTTCGTCTGATTTCGTCAGCTGCAGGTGTAAGGCAAACGTGTTACATAATAGGATCTGACGTTCCTATTATGAAGAGTGGTGAGTAGGTGTCCTCAGTCAGATCAGTTATAACAGGATCTAGAGATATACCAAGGATGTGCGTCGGGAAATTCACGTAATCTGTCAGACTGTGAACTGAGAGAAGATCCTCGTATGCTTACTATCCTATCTCTTCTTTGCGCCACTGTGAGTAGCCTTGTATCTTACCAAAAGCAGGTTCTACCTCTGCATTCAGGAAGGTTTCAGTAACCACTATTATGTCGGCACTGACGCTGAGGGCCATGTAGTCAGCTCACCAATATTGGTTTGGAGGCCTCTTACATTAGCAGACAGAACTGAAAGGTGTCTGTGGCTGTTATTTTGACGGGTATGAATTAGTGATGCCATTTAATACACTGGCCCTTGGATGCTGTTAAAGTTAGGATATGACCAAGAGGAACAGCGAGTCGATGAGCGGTCCAGTGTGAGGATGGAAAGAAATATTGCTGTTGAAGCGGCGAAAATGGGAGTAGAGGCTGAGGGTCAACTACCGTTTTTTTGTGTTTGAGAGCTTCTATATTCTGACAAGAAAGTCTTCAGCTATATTCTGACAAGAAAGTTTTCAGCTCTCTTTCGAGCAGTTCGGCCTTATCTGCCAAAGCTTTCCACCTGCAACTGTCCAGAGTGTGACCTCTTGCCTTGCAAAGGTCGCAGGAGGCCTTACTACGGCAGTCCCGTTCGTTGTGCCCTCGCCGTTTGCAGTGTGAACACACGGGGGGCTCTAGTCTTCTCTTTTGCTGCGCTCTTCTTCCTCCATGGATCTGTTGACGAATGTCTCGTCCCGTCTCTGAACTCCGGGGAAGCGGAGGCAACTGTGCACTACGAGCAGGATTCTTTTTACTGGTGGGAGTATGATTCTATCAATCCTGAAGTGTTTGTGTGGAAAACACGGGATATCCTGTCGGGCTTTACTGTTACAGCCTTCGATTGCATTGGCAATAAGCTCCTTAGCATAAAGGATAGTAGCAGGAAGGTCAGCCAGAAAGAGACCGTCCAGGAATACCGAGAGCTGTTTGACTAATTTTGTTATAATAGCCTGCTGTGTCTGGATTATCGTTATATAATCCTCTTGATTTGTCAAGTCGTGTCCAAGAGAAAGAGAGGCTTATGGGCGTTGTTGATGAAGATCCCGGATGTCATCGTGATCGTGCCGGAGAGTTATTTTGGGACGTGACATGCTAAGGGGGGCCGGCCGATGTTAATGCACCCAGGGTACTGTCCCTGCGGATTCCTCGAGAGCTGCATCACATGCAAGTTAGAGAGGGGGTGGGGGAGAAAAGATTGAGAGAAAAAACAAAGATTATGACACGTGTCATAAGAAATGTGAGGAGAAAATGCGTAGTACGGAGATAGTGGGATCCCTTGAGGGAAGAAGTGGTGGTAGTGGTGGAGGTCTGCACTGGGAATTTGCTGGTCAAACTAGGCAAACTAGTACTTGGCAAGTAGTTTGCCAAGTCGTTTGTCACGGCAATGCAAGAATGCCGAAATAACGGCTAGGAGACAGTAGAATATTATGTATATACTCGTATGTCTTTTCCTTTCCGTGCTTTGAATATTCAGAAAACCTTCCTTAGGTACTCATACAAATGTATGCCAAGCGACACACTCAAGCAACGGTTGGGGAGTTCACAAAAATCGTATTTTGCTAGACTCTAATGTCATGTCTGTGCTCTCTCTCTCTCTCTCTCTCTCTCTCTCTCTCTCTCTCTCTCTCTCTCTCTCTCTCTCTCTCTCTCTCTCTCTCTCTCTCTCTCTCTCTCTCTCTCTCTCTCTCTCTCGCACACACACACACACACACACACACACACACGCACACATACATACATTTCACATCCTTCTCTCTATACATCTACCTTTTTCTCTCTGTCACTTTTCTCTCTCTCTCTCTCTCTCTCTCTCTCTCTCTCTCTCTCTCTCTCTCTCTCTCTCTC